TAGAAGCTGCGATGAGTCATGATCTTGCCACTGCCCTACAGCCCAGGTGACAGAGTGAGACCCCAACTCAAAAAAAAAAAGAGCATAACACCAGTTTGCGGAGGCTCTGGAAAATGAGGTGGCCAGGGGGTGGTTGTCCTAAGCTGGCTTTCAGGGGAGACCCAGCAGCCTGGATCCTGGAACATATGTGGCTTATTTTGAGTTTACTAACTACATCCTGTTCTCCTCCCAATTCACCCCCTTGAAGCTTTAAAAAGGTTAAGTTTTCTGAACCTGGGTAAATATTTACCTGCATCAGGTCACAATTTCCTAGGTCACCTTGATGACATGAGGATCAAAACCAATCTCTTGTCAAACCCAAAGTCACAGCCCCTTAGACTGGGCCACTGGGGGGGCCAGAGGCCCATGTGCTTGTGGTGTTTAGGGAGGACTCACTCAGTAGGACTCACTGAAGAGGTATGCAGGGCTGTTGGTCAGTGGAGACAGCCCTTTTCTCCAGTCATGGACCAGAGATATGTTTTGTTTTGTTTGTTTTTCTCTTAGGGGTTTTATTCATGGGAGGGGATGCAGTTTGAGGGCACCCTGGGTTCCAGTCAAGAGATCTGGGGTCTAACCCTGTTTCCATTAGTTGCTGACTCTGGCTTGGGGCCCCACATACCAGCCCCCCCTTCAGCAAAACGCAGATGGCAGAAAAGGGTTCCAGAGCCTCCAGACAACAGTGCTGTGCTGGCTGTCAAGACCCAAGTGTCCAAAGGGCCGAAGGGCCTGGGTAGGCAGGGCCCTGAGCCGCCATCCACCTGGCTTAAACAGAGAGGGGTCCCTTTCCCTGTCTGGCATATTGAGATGTTTCAGAAGATTCCATTTGAGGAATAAAACAAGACAAGAAAAAAAAATCCCCTCAAGGCTTCTATCACTATATATATAAAAAAAAAAAAAGTTAGAAATCACCAGGCTAGAAAACGTGATCAGGCTGTTCAATCTCTGGGTTCAGTCGCACTGGCCTTGTCCTCAGATTGTCGTGCTGCAGCCCCCTAGGCTGCCCCCTGGGCTGTCAACTCTGCCTCCCTGCCCTCTCATCCCTGCCCTCTGCCAGCCTTCCTCCCAACCATCTTTGTCTGTCAAAGTCCTCCCCATTCTGCAAGGTCCAACTAAAATGCCCCTCCCCAACAAGCCTCCATTGACGCCTCCAACTTCCCAGACCCTCCAAGGTGTTGGTATCAGTGTTTCTTGCAGTTTCTCTCGTCTCCGTCTAAGCCTCTCTGTGTACTTACCCCCAGATGCTCTTGGCAGGGGACTCTGGGAATAAGGCACAGAAGCAGCAGTGCACAAGGCCTGGGTTTGAATCCCAGCCCTGCCAGGCCTGAGGGCAAGTTGGTTCATATCTCTGGGCTTCAGTTTTCTCAGCTGAACAAACACAGAGAGGATCAGAGTACCCGGTACAGTGTATCTGCTCATGCGAGAGTCATTAACATCCATCCCTTTCAAATACACACACACAAATACGAGGAGGAAACCCCCCAAAATTGGAATTTATTAAAAATTGTGTATTTATTCTTACATGTTTAAACTTCAGTCACCTTCAAAGTACTGTCCGTTAATGCAATACACCTATCAAGTTGCTTTTTCCACTGCTCAAAGCGGTTTTTGAATGCATCAATTTTGATATCTTTTAGTGCCTCTGCCGTTTTTTGTTTCACCTCTTCCACTTCCGCAAAACATTTCCCTTTGAGGACTTTTTCATCTGGGGAAACAGAAAAAAAGTCGCTTGGGGTGAGATCGGCTGAATAGGGAGGTGGGGCAGGGGGCTATGCCATTTTGGGTCAAAAACTACTGAACACTCTGTGTGGTATGGCCAGGTGCATTGTCATGGTGGAAGAACCAGTCAGTTGTTTGCCACAACTCGGGATGCTTCTTCCACAATGCAGCCTCTCACAACAACGCTAGCTGATACACTGATGCCGATGGGTTCCTAAAACACCTAGAAGGGGAAACCTGTACTACAAGAGACCTGCCCTCCAAAAGATAATTCTGGATTTTTTGTTTTCTCCTTATGTGTGTGTGTGTGTGTGTGTGTGTGTGTGTGTATTCTGCCCAGCCCTACTTTGATATATTCCATCAAAGTCAAATGTGTAAGCAGAAAGTTTGTATTGTATTTTTTTCTCAAAGTAATACGTGTACCTGGCTTGAAATTCAAACAGTTGCCAAGAGTTCATGATTAAAAGCAGCTGCCCCCACGTTGCCTCTTTCCACAGAATTTCCCACTGCATATTTTTTAATTGCATACACGTTTGCTACAGAAAATGCAGATAAGCAAAAATAAAACCAAGCACAACATATTGAAATCCCACTTTTCATTTTAGAATGTCTTCTTCTGGATGATTTCGCCATGCTTTTTTTCCCCAAATAAGTCCTCATATTTTTCTCCATGCATTATAAAGCTAGTCACAGTCTGCTTTCAACTAAGGAAACAAAACTGATCTTGTTTGAATTAAAAGGTGTAGTGGATTGCTAGACCTTGACTTCTCCCAGTGTGGCATCAGCATGGCCATGGCACGTGCTGAAAGTCCAGTGTCTTGGGTTCCACCCCAGAGTTCATATTTGAACAAGCTCATGGTGACTGGAGCTCACATTCCAGCTGGGAAAGTCTGTGTCCATTGGAGCTACTCACACTTGCCACCCCCAAACTGTGACAGTCCAGGACAAGAGGCTTGAGCCGGAGTGTAAACAGCACTGCTCCCTTTATAGAGCAAGGCTTGCTACAAAATACTGTCAGCAGAGCTAAACAGTGTGATGGATGAGGAGGCAATTTACATTCCGGCCCCAGCTCCTTATCTTGTCAGGGACCAGGACACACAGTTCCTGGGCTTGGCACTGGCCGGCCACACTCTGAGCTGCGTTATTTAGATCACACTGTCAGGAGGTGGAGGGCTGGGACTGGGATTCTCTGGCTTCAGATACTGACTTCTCCCACTCTGTGTGTAGCTGACCCTCCCAACTGACCATCTCTCTCTCTCTCTCTCTCACACACACACACACACACACACACACACACACACAC